GACTGCTTCCCTGTGCCTCATCTTTTTGGCTTTGGAAGCTGAAAAGCACTCAGAAAATACCAGGATATTTTCCAGAGTGACACTGAGTTTTTGAGTAGTGTGGGAAGTACTACATGGAAGTATGTGGAATAGTTCTTCTGCAGTAGCCCTTCCAGGCTCTGTCCCCCACATCCAGTATTTGCACACAATCCATTTCTCAAATACCTGCTTCTCTTTATCCTGTAGCAGTGAACAAGCCTTCTCTGTGAATCTGATTTTCTTCTCTGGACATGGATACGGATAATGCACAGCTATAAAACATGATAAAAAGCTAATAGTTTACTCATGTCAACCACTGGGTCACTGCCAAGCTGTGATGAATGTAAGTCAGCTTCATGTGGCTTGTTTCTGTGGAATATTCACTTAACATGGAATCTGGTTACCCAATTTAGGCCCAGTCTGTATTACATGGCAATTAATAGGAACACTTCTATTGATTTTACTGGACTCTTGCTCAAGGAAAATGTCAGCACTTGTGTGCTGCGATCTATAGTAACAGTCATGTTTTTCTGAAGACAAAGTAATGATTTTGCTCTGAAAGTCACTTGGCTTCTCAATTCTATTTGGATCTACCTGGTGCTAATAGAAAAGTATCATTAAGCTGCCTGACCAAAATATGGTACCTGGAAAATTTAGAAATATTTATACCATGAACATAGCAAGCCAAGCATGCTCCAGTCATCAAGCATGAACCCCCCTCAAGTTCACATGGTGCAAATCCACATGCAAGCCAGGACTTTAGGTGAGGGTAAGAAGTGATCTGAGGAAAGTTCTGACCTTACACTAGCCATTAATGCAAACTGATGCATGCAGCTTAAGGGCAGTATAGATGTGCAATAAGCCCATCCCATCCACCATGACATATGGTGGTCATTACATACAACTGGTCTTGAAGGACCATATGGGATAAGTATTGCATACAAACCCACTGGCCAGATCCTGAAATACAGGCTGAAATGCAGCCTCCACTAAAGGCTGCAACATATTCCCCTACAGAATATGGGGATTTTCAGCAAAGCCACATACCCTGCAGCATCTTGGCTGGATGCTGACGACAGGCTGGGATGTACAGGGCTCTCGAGCATGCTCTGAGACCCTCTCCTGCAGGCACAGTGCTCTAATGTCCTTGATCAGCAGGGGGTTGCTCACTGCTGTGACCCACAAGACAGCTGATCTCAGTTCTGGGATCTCCTTGACACTTGTTTCGTTGTAGCCTGAATTTATGGTGCTTTAGGGAAGTGTGATGCTGCCTATCTGTTTGCTCAGGCTGTTCCTCTACGGTGGGGTAAAGGAGGATGGTTATTTTTAATGCAGCCTTTGTCAACTCCTTTATTTTAAATATTACTTTAATATTTTAATATGAGGCTAAACACATGCTGCATCAGCACACATTTTCAATGTACCAGTGAATGCATGAGTACTGCTTAGATGTACTCTAGACTCTGTCTAGAGTATAAGTTTCGTCTTACCTAAATCTAACTAACATATGGGTGAGTTTCTTCTTTTCCTTTTCCTTTTCCTTTTCCTTTTCCTTTTCCTTTTCCTTTTCCTTTTCCTTTTCCTTTTCCTTTTCCTTTTCCTTTTCCTTTTCCTTTTCCTTTTCCTTTTCCTTTTCCTTTTCCTTTTCCTTTTCCTTTTCCTTTTCCTTTTCCTTTTCCTTTTCCTAAAATAAGTTTAGTCTTAGTTGAGGTAAGAAAATCACAGAATAATAGAATAATAGAATCATTGAGGTTGGAAGGAATCTTTAGAGATCATCTAGTGCAACCCTCCCTGCCCATGCAAGGTCACCTAAAGCACGGGGCACAGGGCAGCATCCAAGTGGGTTTTTAAGATCTCCAGAGAAGGACATTCCACAACCTCTCTTGCCAACCTGTTCCAGGACTCTGTCACCCTCACTGTCAATAAATTTTTCCTTAAGTTCCTGTGGAACTTTTGGTAATTTAATTTGTGGTCATTTTCTCTTGTTCTATGCATTGATTAGATCCCCCCTCAGCCTTCTCTTCTCCAGGCTGAACAGGCCCAGCTCCCTCAGCCTTTGCTCATAGGGCCTCGTAGCCCTGAGCTGGACTTTCTCCAGCAGCTCCACATCCCTCCTGTACTGGAGAGCCCAAAACTGGACACAGTACTCCAGATGTGGCCTTTCTAGGGCTGTGTATAGAGGGACGATCACCTCCCTCCAAAAGGGAGACTTAGTCTGGAGGCTTGTTCATGCCAGCAGGAACACCACAGCATCAGTTGATGGAGCTTCTCCATAAGCTCAACAGGGACATACACAAACTGAGCATAGACATACACAAAACAGTTACCAGTGTTCTCTGTTATCAAGCTGTGATATCTCTGGTATATTGAAGCTGTATACAGGCCATCTACCTTCAGGTTGTAGACATAGGAGACTTGGTGTCTTGAATGGTCATTCAGAAAAACATGTATGACAAGAGCTTCTGCACTTGTTAAAGGAGTCACAAGTAGATGTGAAAATTCTAGCTGCGAACTGCAGCTCATTTCCATTTCATCACTTTTTAAAGCCAGAAACCTGGATTTAAGATGTCAGTTCTCCAGAAGTTGTCAACAACAAAACAAAACAGATGGAGAACTGCTGCCCCTGTGTTCAGTGAGGAGCTGTAATTGACTTGTGCTTTTTACTTGCAAAAGCTCACAATTATGCTAAAATTTTCATCTTCCCAATGTTCTTTTCCTCTCATGACTCCTGGTGCAGCTGAACGACAAGGTCTGTAGCAGTGAAAGGCATCTTTTTACTCTGTCATTACCATTGTTCATTTTATCTCTGCAGCTCACACTAGGTCCTTGAATGAAGGGAAAAAACAGCGCTGGTTTATCTATACAGGGCAGAACCGGACAGCAAACTTGTGGTATTGCTCTGCCTAGTGCTGTCTTTCCATGTAGCTGAAGCCAAATGCTGGGAGGTACTGAGTACCTCCAATATTCCTTCCACTCACCCACAAGAGAAAAGGAAATTCAAAGAGTTCCCAGTTGCCTGGAAATGTTCAGCATCTGCTGTCATCTCCAATTATCCAGCCTTGGCTGGACAACGCAGCTCTTTCAGTTGACGTCAACCCCTGCGCCGTCAGGCAGATTGACTCAGAGCCTACAGTCGCTGGGGGTTTCTGTCAGCTTGACCCAGGAGCTGCCACACCGCATGATTTTGCACCTCACACGCTGGCTTTTCCTACTCTAAGTTCATGTATTCAGGCTTGTGCAGCCTTGGAACAGAAATAGAAAGAGCAGAACCACAGGCTACATCCATTGGCTTCTGCCCTGGGCAGATAAGGATGGTGCTCTTGTAACTGGCCCAGGGCTTTACAATGACTCAATTCAGAGCTGTGAGGATAAAATAAGCTACAGTGTTGTTAGAAAAACAAAGAACCTTGCCAAGGCTTTGGAAGCACCACAAGAATGAAACATTTGAAAAAAATATATTAACTTAGTATTATTGTTGCTATTATTACTACTGATTTGTACTGTGTGTCTGGACTCTAAGAGCCCCTCTCCAGAACTGGGTGCTCTTATGCTGGGCACGGCACATGTGTGAAATGAAGAGAGAGCCTATGCTTTAAGCACTGGAGTGGGAGGAAGAAAAGGGAGGTGAGGGAGAGGGTAGGTGCCAGGAGAGTGCTGGCGTTGAGAGGATGAGTTTCAGAATTCATGCCCTAAGCAAGAATGACTTGTTAGGCACAAAGGGGATAGGGCAGGGCAGAACATCACCCTCATGTCATGAGAGGAAACCACTGAGTGGGTTTGAATCAGGTGGAGCGCTCCAAGGTGAATGCACTTTTATCAGCTCACCCGCTGAACACGACCACGCGAGAACATAGGATGTGCTCCAAGGAAGATACAGTCTGCAGTGCTGCTGTGCCTTGGGAATCGTGGAGTCGTGGATGCGTAACTTGGGAGTCGTGCATTAAGGGGGCAGCCTGTATCAGTTGTCAGCACTGGAAAGGGACATTCGTTGTCCTGGGGGGTGAACTGAATTTCAGGCTGTCTCATAAGGTGTCTCACAGGTTTAATTTGGCCCCATCTTTTCCATGTTTCCATTGAAAGCTTTTGTTTGTTTGTTTTGTTTTGTTTTGCATTTAGACTGTGTCAACTCTATGGAAAAGAAAAACATCCAGTGGAAGATCACTGTCAGACCTGCTAAAAATATTTCTTTCCTCTTAGAATAGCTCGATATTTCAGACTAGTCAGAAATCATTACCCAAAACACTTTAAATCTTCTAATGAAAAACAAAGGCCACTTTTAACAGTTAAGAGCCAATTTGAGAAAAAAAAAAGATGTCATCTTGACAACAACCAATAGAAGCCACTGCCAAAGTGGCAGGGAGCAAGGAGGAATTCTGGAGATCATTACAAGTGGGGTCAAGAACCAAGGACATGAGAACTTGAACTTCTGCTTCTATTGGGTATTACGTGGCACTTCAATGGAAATATATTCCATCTGTGGCTGAATTTTTCTGAAGGACAGAGGGGATTTGGATTAAAACAATTGCACCACCCCTTTAGTGACCTCAGTGCTGCTTTTCCCCTACCCTTCTTTGCTGGGAATGAAATGATTCAGCTGTTTACAAATGCCCAGCAGAATCCAGCAAATCACAACTTAGTTCACAAAACATCACAGAGCATCCTTTCTTACTGTAGTCCCAGTAAAAAATGGAATTAACATCCCATAAGTCCCATAAAATAGAATTAACATCATATTGCTAATGAAATACGAGATACAGTATTATCATTGACTTTGCAATTTCAGCTTGCTTTGAGAAGTCTATCAATCTTGTCTGTAACACTTGGTTTTAGATTATGTCCTACAATGAACTACTCATTGTTCATTCTTTGTGAAATGATCTGTGTACAGCTCACAGATCACTTTGTTTTTGCTTTTTTTTCCTTGGAGGCTGGAAGTGGAACTTATTGTTGCTATCTTTAATGTTCACTTTCTCTACCCTCAGGTGTCTCCATGCCTGTACCTGTCTTCGGCCTACAAGATGATTCCAAAGTGTTTAAGAACGGCAGCTGCCTACTTGCAGACGAGAATTTTGTTCTAATAGGCTCTTTTGTGGCATTCTTCATACCTCTAACCATCATGGTAGTCACCTATTTTTTAACTATCAAGTCACTGCAGAAGGAGGCTACCTTATGTGTGAATGACCTCGGCGCAAAGACCAAGTTTACTTCATTCAGCTTCCTCCCTCAGAGTTCCCTGTCTTCAGAGAAACTCTTCCAGCGGTCTCTGAACAGAGATGTGGGGATTTCTGGCAGGAGAACAATGCAATCCATCAGCAACGAGCAGAAGGCTTCCAAGGTTCTTGGTATCGTCTTCTTTCTGTTTGTTGTGATGTGGTGCCCATTTTTCATCACCAATGTGATGGATGTAATTTGCAAGGAGTCATGCAATGAAGAAGTCATTGGAGGACTACTTAATGTGTTTGTCTGGATTGGCTACCTTTCTTCGGCTGTCAACCCACTCGTGTACACACTGTTCAATAAAACCTACCGCTCAGCTTTCTCTCGTTACATTCAGTGTCGCTACAAGGAGGAGAAGAAACCTTTCCAGTTGATCTTGGTGAACACTATCCCAGCACTTGCATATAATTCCAGCCAGCTCCAGCTAGCACAGATGAAGAGCTTGAAAAAGGAGGCAAAGATGATGGCTAAGGATTATTCGACGGTTACAATCGGAATTCGTCACTTAGATGGTACCTCAAAGGGAAGCACCAGCCCAGGGAATGAAAAGGTTAGCTGTGTGTGACTCTGCTAGCCTGGTGGCAGCTGCCAAGACAAACCAGAGTGTCTGTGCTGAAAACTTCACCTTGCTGTGAGAGGCTCTGGTAGCTTAGGAAAATTAGCCCTGATCAAGAGACCATCTGATAGCATCACACGCGCCTCATCTCATCCTGTTGATGAAAAGCAGGGTTGAAATGGTATCAAATGTGCAATTTTTTTTCATACAGTACTTTGGCTGTTTTAAGCACAGGCTTTATTAAACTTATTTTTTTAATATTCTAAAGGATATATTTCTTAAAGAAAAAATGCAATTTCTGGTATTACAACATGGGCTGTGAAGAAATCTATGTATTTCTTTTCGTTTTGCCAATGAAAGCTAAGCCGTACTTTGGTTGCCTCGCAAATTAGATTCCAACTAGTTTGTCTTGCTATATAGAACTTTGTTATCAATTAACAAATGAGCACTTTATGGAATTTTAAATAAAATGATGGTTTATTTACTAATATATATATATTTAAAATAAATTTTGAAACATTAAAGAGAAGTCTATTAAAATCTGTATAGATCAGTTATATAGAAATTTTGGTAACAAGGTTTTTATGAGTATATTTTCTTCTGAATGATTGTTCTGAAATGTTGCTGGGCTTTTCTGCCATTTGTTCTGTAGTTCAAATTAGCAGTCTTCAAAAGTAAATGATACTTGAATGCTCCCTTGATTAATCTTTATCTCTTATTTCACGTCTTGTACTCTATTTCCATTCTACGGCTTTTATCTTCTCTATTTAAAACTTGAAAATATATTTTTAAGAGTAAATACTGGGCTTTATACTCTGCTCCTTCACTGTGGTGTTGATAGAGAAGTTAAGTGAGAGAAGAGCATGGAATATCAGGCACGACATTGCTAAATAACTTTAGGAAGCATTCCTCATCCAGTCCTCTGATCAACTCCAAAAGCCTGATCTAAGTAACGCCAGTGGAAATTTTGTATGAGTAAAACCTCCAGTAAAGGATTTCATCCGATTATCTCTCATTGTTTCTCTTTGGCTGAAAAGGCAATTATGCTTTGGTTTTGTTTTAGCAGCTGTAGACTCAGAATTATTAAAACACTGTTACTTGCACAAAATTGGTTTCCTCAGTTTTGTAGTTACGGTAGATTGCTCAGGAATGGTAGGCAGCTTGCACTATGAGGACTCAGCCTTAACATAATATATATGGGCAAATGGAGCTTATCTGAAAATAAGAGACTTATGAACAGCACAGTATATAATCTGTATAGCTCCAAGGGCAGAATACATTATGTAAAGAACATCAATTACATGGTTTGACAGAGATGCCCAGTCATGAAACTTTTTCCTTTCAGGCATCATAGACAATTTCACTGAAGCCAGCGGGACTCTGCTGCAGAGTGGAAACATAAATGTAGCATCCACCTGCAGAGCTGAAATCCAAACATCTGATTCTTTATATAGATTTTGCAACCACAGTCAGGAGAAGTAGGATGGATGGTAATTTCAGATCCTGCCCACTCTGGAAAAATGCCCTATTTTATTTAGAAGCCAAAGTTGAATGCCTTCAGCATTTTTTAAGTCTTTCTCTTAAAGTTGTTCCTTGGCCACTAATGGCTCCCCAAAAAATAATAAAAAGAAAAGGATAACCCACCAAAATAAAGGTTTTGGTTGTTTCATGAAAGACTGGATTCATTGGTGCCCCTGTAAGTGGTATAAGCACTGTGCTCACTTTGAGTTTGTTTATATGCTCCCCCCGGCCTTGGGAATATTCAGTGAACAGGCTTGGACACCTTAGGAAAGAAGCAGGAAGCTCAAACCTGAGCTTATTTTTGGGGATAGATGTCTGAGGCTTAGGATTTGGCATCAAAAAACATTGCTTCCATACAATGAATACTGACATGGGACTGAAGGGCTCCAGTGGGAAGGAAACCTTTCGTAAAACTTGTGTCCATCTTGATGTGAGAGAAAGAGGCAGAGAGAGGCAAAAAGAGGCCCCACCATCAGTTTGTGCCAGGGAGCAGAGCTGGTCAGAAGATCCCCATGTGGGCCCTGCATGTCTGTGAAGCTCAACTCTTCCAAATGCTGCTGGGGCTCTGGTTGCTCTCCCGCACAGTCTCCTTCACCAGGTCGTGCTCACTAAGCTGCTAGAAAGCATTTAATGCTGCCACTCTCTGCTTCCACCCACGTGGCGCCACAAACCAGCTCCTCTGCTTCTCAACCCTTTCATTGCACCTTCTGTTTCTCTTCTGTCATGTCAAACTGCTCAGGTTGCAAATACTGACGGGGAATGTTTCACTACAAACAAAAAAGGGTTGTTACTGGCTTGATGGTTCTTTAAAAAATGACTGCGAACATTAAATTATTTTGCAGCTTATTAAAATAAAGCCTATGTTTTGGACCTAAATCATGTGACAGCGTTTCTTTAATTGAAAGCTGGAGGCACTGTAATCCTTTTTATTTTTTTTTTTTGGTTAAAAGCAGGGATATCTGACTTTTTAATACCGTGAGTACTTCAGATGTGTTTTTAATGACTGATCATCAGCTTTTGCCCAAGAAGCCTCTCTAGGCCAACATAAAAAATGCCCAGCATACAAGGACCAATATCTCCATCTTTCCATGAACATTTGTGATGGTTTTGTGTGGCTCGATTCTGCCATCTCGCACCAATATGTTAACAGATTTTTGCGTGGTTTGCCTTAGTGAGGATGGCAGAGTCAGTGTCTGAATTTCTAGTACTCACCATTCTGGACCTGGAAGGTAGATAATTAGCAGAGAGCAATTAAGAGAGTCATTACATTGCTGACAGGTCTATGTTTGGAACTACCACTTGAACTCCAGAGCACTACAGGGTAATAAGACCAGCTTCAGAGCAACAATGTCATCTTGCAAAAAAAAAAAATTGTTTTCAATATTCATCAGACTGGAACAGAAACTTCTGAAATTTTCCAGAAAAAAAATAAAAAAGCCTTTCACTACAAAATAGCTCTGAGATTAGGGTCTTCCTATACCACACAGAATTATTTTTCTTGTTTGATGAGTCAGTTTGTTATATCTACATCTAAAAAAAACCCTTGGTTTGGCTGAAAATGTTTTAATTAACATTTTTTTCAAGTAGATTTACATTTTTTTTATTCTTTAAACAGCATCTGAAATATGCCCAAAGACATAAAGCTCACCACATATCTCGTAAGCTGGTGTGCACTTTATATACTTCAGGGTAAAAAATCCTCTGTATCTATCTCATTCAGCCAATCATGCACTGTATTTATGTAATATTATTGCCAAATGGTGAAATGCATTCTATTTTGAATACATATATTTGCTTATGTAAATACATAGAGAAAAATGTTTGCTGTATTTTGCAAATGTTAATGTAAAACGATGTTCTAATGCTTTATTGTTTTGTCAGATCCCGCTGCTAGTAAAGCAGATTAAAATATTGAAATGAGATCAGCTCTTTTATAAACTGGGAGTTTGTCTTAAGTAGCTGCTTGGGCTTGGTTTAATTTCCCCCCTACATACAGTAAAACGACTGCGGAGGCTAAAATCATGTTTAATATCTTGTTAGGGACAGACAAAGAGCAATGGTGTGTTACAGAAGTTGACTCTCTCAGTAAACTGTGGTCCTCAATGAAGCATTGCAACCCTTCTATTTTTCTAAGAGTGGCAGCTCTTCTAATGAAAATGTATACTTGTTGTGTAAATACATATGGCTTCAAATGTTTTGGTCTCACAAACAATGCGCTTGCAATGGTAATAAGCCAATTAAATTAATTTCATTCGGAAGTCACACTATAAAAGTAGATTTAATAAGCTTCATAAAGAAATAGCATTACAGCAGCTTGCACTAGCATGGAAAGCAGCCCAGTTACAGAACCACAGTGCCATCTAATGGAAACATTTGCTTTCAAAGGGAATAGCATCCTCATCAAAAATGGAATGGATTTTGTTATTTACCTCTTTTTTTTTTCCACCTTAAATCAAAACCAAATGTATTCCTGAACCGAACTGACCTTACGGCCTACATGCTCTTGTTTATAATCATGATGCATGCCAAAGTAGTAAGGCTATTTAGAAAAAAATCTCTTCAAACCCAGAGGTAATCCCAAGAGTTTCATCAATCTTTGTAACATATATGAGAGGTCATAAAAAAAAAGAGTGGTTAGCACTTAGACAGATTCAGGAGTCATCAAATAAAGAGAAACAGGCAATTTCAGTTACAAACTTGTGAAGCACCAGAGTGAAATCTGTTAGATGAAACGAAATGAAAATCCACTCAATTTCACCTCCATAGCACTAGAGGCTCAAAGGTATTATAATTTCTCACGTTACCTGGCAATCTCCTTTACAGGTTTACCAGTTCTGACATAATTTGTACTGACTGTTGAAAGAGAACACATCTAGCTCATCCCTCTCGCACATCAAGCCATGAAAGCAAAGAAGATACTCAGAAAAGAAGATATTTGTTCTACTGATTTCTAGCAGAGTTCTCTGACTACTGGAAATACGACATGAGGGTCTTTGGGAAGCTTCTTTAATGCCATAAAGATCTCTGATATATCTGCAGTTTTGACACATGAGACGTGACAAATAGGGACTTTTTGAAAGTCTCCTTGTTTGAATCTTATCCTGTCTGATACTGATGTTTGCAGTTCAATCAAAGACATTTCGTGTTGTCCTTGAATATAGTTCTAATAACACTTCTACAAGCCACAGTTTATTCTGACCAAAGTTTATTAACTCAAAAAAAAAAAAAAAAAAAAAAAAAAAAAAAAAAAAAAAAAAAAAGGTGATGGTTACAATTGTGTTAATATTTTAACCAGAAAATTACTAGCAAAATGGAAAATTAAAATCTAATGCAAATCTATCAATTTAAGCACTTGTTGAAGAAAATCAGAGTTCATCATAGCCAGGTAATGCATTTTTTCATGTGCTGCACCTCGTTCCGGTTATATCTAAAATATCTGAGGCAATTTATTTTGAAATGACTTCTTGGCCACCAGATGTATGAACTGAGTGAGCAAAGAGTCAGATATGGGATCTTTTCCTAAGAGATCCTAAAGTAGGATC